AGGGAGAGTCAGGCAGGGCCACCCTGAGCCCTTTTCCACAGTGGCTCCAAGTACGGATCACATCTCCAGTGCCAGCAGCTTCGCTGAGGGGGAGGCACATACCCCATTCCCAGTTCTCCATGGTGATGATGGCTGTGGATAACTGAAAACAACAGATAATCCCCAAACCCGCCTTGAGTCATTGACTCCCACCCACCCCCCAGTGTCGCCTCTGCGGTGCAGCTGACGGACTGCCTGCTGCACGGACGCCCGTCACTCCCCTCCTTCTGGTGCATCGTTTGGCAAAGCGTCACAGTAGCCCTCGCCAGGGTGACAGGGAAGCGAGGGGCCAGAACCACAGCCCCCACCTACCGCGTGTGGCTGCACTCGGCCTTGGGGTTGGGCTGCTCCGACTTGGATTTCTCCAAGCTCCTAGGGGTTGAGAGACAGAAGACTCAGGGGTCCCCCAGAAGTAGGGTGTCTCTGCTGGAGGGCACATTGCTCAGGCTCCTGCTCTCACCACAAGACCCTCAGGCACAAGGAGCACCCGGACCGTGGCATCCGCGAAGATGGACCGTGCTCAGGGCAGGTGGGGCTTCTGGGGTCCTGACCCAAGCTCTGCTCTGAGTAGGCCACACACCTGGAGGTAAGCGGAGGAGATGGATGTCCCCAGGCAGTGGCTGTAGGGGTGCACAGTGCTGGCCACTGCTCTCTGGCCACTTCCTGGAGCCCAGACCTTCCCAGTTGGAAGATCTGATGGGTGCAGATGTGGCTCGCTGGTCTCTTGCCGATGCCCACAAATCAACTTCCTGAGTTCCGTTTTGGGGTCCAGCCTGCAGGCTCTCCCTTCCTCTCTCCAGGACATGACTCCTGAACTGAGGGCCGAGACACTTCCTGGAGCCCAGACCTTCCCAGTTGGAAGATCTGATGGGTGCAGATGTGGCTCGCTGGTCTCTTGCCGATGCCCACAAATCAACTTCCTGAGTTCCGTTTTGGGGTCCAGCCTGCAGGCTCTCCCTTCCTCTCTCCAGGACATGACTCCTGAACTGAGGGCCGAGGTGCTGGGGGTAGTGTGCGGGTGGCCTGCAACTTCTCCTGGGTGTGGGGAGTAGCGGGCTCTTGGGCCTTTGTGGGAGACGCAGAGGTGCCTCGCCGGCGGATCAAGGCCGGCCTTGTGGAAACGGAGCGTTGAGGTGGGGGCTCTGGGCAGTGCTCACCCTTTTTTCTTTGCTTGTCCTTCTCCGCCCCTCCCAGCAGGTGCAGAGGATTTGCTGATGGAAGCGGCAAGACTCAGGAAGCTGCTGGCCTTTCCTCCTTCTAGGACTCACATCCACCAGCTCCTGGGACCACCAGGAGGCTTAATCCCTGGTTTGCAGGAGGAAGAAAGTATTTTGCTAAGAGAAGAAAATTAGCACTCCCCAGGCCCCCAGGAATTCCTGTGATAGCTGCAGGGACTGTTGGAACAGTAATTTGTCATAAAATTGGCCATGGGAACACAATTTTGGAAATAGTCAGAGAGGCAAGATTTCCTAAGTGGTAGGAAAAAGCTCCCTGGTTGGAGAAATGGCTCCCATTTGGCCCGCGTGCTTTCTGAGATGCACAGCCTCCCGCATTCCCATTTGGAGGCAAGGCGTTTAGATGCCGGGTGGGACGGAGCCAAGATCAGGGAGCCGGGCTGCCGAGCCTGTGACTTAGTCCTTCCATCCCAGGGGCAGGCTCCTGGGCTGCTGGGACCCAGGGCCTCTGAGGAATGGGGACAGTGAGCCCTGGGGAGAGACCTGTGAAGGGGACTTAGAAAGCCTCTCACCCCTTCCCCTCTCCCTGTCTCCCGTATGTGTGTCCACATGTAACGCAGGCGTCTCCCGTCTGTCTTGTCCCATTCTCCCTGCCTGTCTGTCCCTCTCCGGTCTTGGCGAGGCCCTGTGCTCCTCCTCCACACTCCTCATCCACAGGCTTGCTGTGGGGAGTGGACTGTGCTAATGGCCACTCCCCTGACACCAGGCATAGCCTCCGAGGAGGTAGCACAGCTCCTCCATGTCCCAGGGACCTGCAAGGCCAGCACGTGTGCTGCCTCTGGTTCTGCCGCACCGGACTTGCTGTCCATCCAGACTCAGGTCGGTGGCTGTGGAGCTCCTCAGTCTGGTGAGCAGGTGGGCACCTGTGGGCCTCGGCACCAGGAAAGCTGCATTCCGCTGGAGAGACCGGTGGAGGAGAAACAGCTCCGGCCTCCCAGTGGGGAAGAGTCCTGACGTCTTGGAGAAGAAGGTCCTCAAAGTGACACACGGTAGGCACAGCGTGAGAAGAGACGGTCTCGGGCCACACCACCGGCGGTGCGAGCTTTGGGGTCGCGGTGGGGGCCGCCGTGGTGAGCGATCTGCTCTCGGGGACAAATGAGGGTAGCGGGCAGCTGAGGCTCGTTTACAGGGCAGCCTAGCTTGGAACTCGGCTCGGAACGGCTCTGGACCCGTGGTTGTCCTGAGTTCCGTGAAAGTCTTCCCTGTAGACTGCTCTGTACATGGCCACAGCCTCCTGGCTCCTCCTCCTCTTCGCATCTTCACGAGAGCTGCTGGCCGCTGTGACGGAGCGTCCTACTGGATGGGAAGCCTGAGAAGACACGGCGCTTTTATAATTCTTGCTAAATTCACATTGGTTTTGTCACGCTACCTACACAGGTTGAACTTGTTGCTCGCGATTTCAGGTGATTTCTATCTTGTCACGGGCTCCTGCCCTCATCAGCTGCCCGTTCCCTGCCCAGGACCTCCTGGGAAGCTTCCTGGTTGCTGGGAGGCTCCACAGTTAGAGGTGGACTCCAGCAGGGAGGGCAGTTCCAGACTATGACTGAGGAGGGAGAGCCAGCTACAGTGTCCATAGCAACCCTCTGGCTTTTACCTGTACCGGAGAGAAGGAGGCAGAGGCAGCCAGGCTCCTAAGAGGCTGCCCTGCTGTGCGATTCCCAGCAGGGTCCGTGCATAGCGAGGCACAGGGCTTCTTTCCTCCCTTGGAGCAGTGACTTGGAGTGGAGCTGAGCTGCAGCTTGGATTTGGGATGCTTTTGGGAGAGTCGACAGGGTGGGGGGGCTGCGGCAGGCTAAGCTGTCACATCCAACTGCAACTGAGGGGTCACAGCAGGTGGAAGGTCACACAGCAGGGAGGCATCTCACACAAGTCACCGCCCAGCTCTTTTCCTGCAAGTCAGGGCCCATCCCGAGGCCTCTGCGGTCCTCTCCCGCCTCTTATTCTCAACCTCGACTAGGGCAGGGCTGTTGGTGCAGACAGAGGCTCGCTGTGCACAGTATTTGTCGGTTGGTCCTGCACTGGGTCCTCCCCCGGCTTGAGGAGGGAGATTGTGCTGAGCAGAGATTTGCCCGGGGTCTCTTCTCTCAAGGTTCCTGTGTGTGACGCTGTGTGCACCGGCCACCAGCAGGGGCCGCCACACTCCTCACAAACCCTCCACGGGTTGCTGTGCCCCCGGGGGTGAGCGGAGCCTTGGCCAGTTGGGGCCAAAGAGCGTTCAAGCCCCTTCTCTGCAGAGGGCTCTTGTCGCGCTGCCCAGCTTTGCTCCATGCCCTACCTGCCGGAGGGTGGTTCCCAGGGCTGGGGAGCACTGGCTGCCTCTTCCAGGGCTCATGGCTACCCCAGCTGGGGGGCCTCCCTTGGGCGTAAGGGAGGCCCTTTGGGTTTGGGAAACAGACTTTTTCCTCAGAGCCTTTTGGGACTGGGGCCAAGGAGCACTTTGTTCAGCACATCTTACTTGAGGGCATGCTCTGTGACAGGCAGTGAACAGACAAGCCCCGCCCTGTCGCAGCCGAGTCTGTGGCAGGGCACAGCTGGTGAGTGGCTGTCCTCTCCGGCCTGGCCCAGGCAGACGGGCTTTCGGACAACACAGACTCCAGATCAGGCTCACAGGCTGAGCCGGTGCCCGTCAGGTGTCTACTGGCCCTCCCTGTACCAGCCCACACTTGTCCAGCCCCCGCAGGCGTACTTCACGGTTCATAAGGTGAATGTGTGCTGTGCACCCTGCAGGGCATCGTGGAGACAGGACTTTGGCATGCGGTGCCCGTTTCCCGTTTCTTTCTCCACACTTGCTTCTTTCCGGAAGTATTAGCACCTCCATGTGACCTTTGATCCTTGGAATAAATAAATGTTTCCATCCAAACTGATTCATCTGGCCAGGACAGCAAGTTCCCACACCAGAGCCGTAGAGAAGGGAGCAGGAGAAGCATTTAATTGTTTTTTTTTCTTTTTATTGAGGTTATTGGTACAATCTAGATATACAATACAATTACATTCATCATTGGGATTCTGTACTTTTACATACTAGGTCTTGATTCTCATTTTTCCCCTTGTCCCTGCCCTCCCTTCACCCCCTCCTCGCCTCCCCATTTACAAACACTTTATTTCCATTTTTTCAGTTTCTCATATTTTTTTCCTCTCCCTTATTACCTTTCCCCCACCCTTCCCACTTTCCCTACACCTTTAGTCCTTTACTTCCTATTTCACATTATTAATTATCTCATTAGGATCCTGTGTACTATTGTAGTTTTTCACACCAAAGAAACTATTCGGTATTTCAGTTAAAGAAATCTCTGTATGAACATTAAAAATAGGGAATCCTAAAATAAAACTAAAAAGGAAAGTAAAAGAGAAAAGGCAATGATGTAACATCCAAATAATCCTTAATTCTGGAGATGAAAATGGTCCCTGAACATATTTAAATTGCTAGGAGAAGTATTTAAAAAGTGTCCCAGGGCTCACAGCGGAGGAGGGAGGCCTGCAGCGGTCTGGCTCCCAGGGTCTGCTCGTCATGGTCACTGGCAGCAAAATGGCAGGTGGAAGCTGGAGGGCTGATTCACAGCCCAGGGCTGCTCCCGGGCACTGCCTGGTGCCGTCCCGTCTTCTCACCGTGCGGGAGCAGCTGCGGGTCGGTGCAGGGCTCGGTCGCAGGGCTGAAGCACCCCAGTCACCCCTTGCTGGGTGTGGCAAGAGGCTGCACCGCCGGGCTGGTGTCCTGGGGCTCAGGGGATGGGTGTGGACGGGAGCCTGCACCTACCAACTGGCATCCTAGTGGCCAGCGGTGCCATCAGGGCTGAGGACCGAGGTGCCCCAAAGTCTTACACATGCATAAACTCACCTATTTATGCAACACTCAATGTGGGTACAGGTTGACAGTTGTGTGTGTGTGTGTGTGTGTGTGTGTGTGTGTGCTTTATAATTTGCACCACAAGCTCCTGTCACCAAGGAGCTCCTGGTGTGAATTAAAAGCAGGAGAGAAAACACATGTATAGACAATGTCAGGCACAGAGAGAAGGGGAAAGTATCCCCAGAGAGGTAGAAATAAAACGTGAAGGGAACACAGACAAGGGACGATGGCGTGGAACTGAGGGAGCAGGGAGACTGTCTCAGGAGTGTGGGCGGGTGGGACTCTGCGCCTTCCTCCAGTTCGAAGACAGTGGACACAGCGCAAGGGCACGAAGGAGGAGCCTTCAGATCGCAGTGGTCTGCTGACCTCCAGCAGCTGCATAAAGCTTTCTGAACGGTAGTTTATGGGGTGAGAGCGATGGAGCTCCCAGCCTGCCTTCCAGGGCTGCCAGGAGGAGCAAATGTAGCAATTTATATGAAAGCAGTTGGGAAACAATAAAGTACTATGCAAACACAGTTTTTATATAGAGCATTAGTTAATCCAGCCACCAAGCTCCCAGATAAGAGCACAACACTGACTGGAGGTGGCCATCAGGGTCTGAGGGGGCGGGGCCGATAACACTACCGTCCGTCTGTCGCTCATCCGAGAAACCCTGAAAGAATACATCCACGGCCAGGTGGCCTGCTCAGTGCCAGGGATGTGGGAAGAGATCAGATCCTTCTGCTCTAAGACATATGAGCCTCTGGGAGACAGTCAGAGGAGCATAAGTGGTTACTTTTCTCAACCTAGTTTCAGCCAGGTCTACATTTTAGGGGAAAGCTCTATAGACCATAATCTTGGAATTTTAAAGCTGAGCAATTTTAGAGCTCATTTCTTCTACTTGCTGCTTCCGGAGACAGGAAAATCATGCTTCTTATTTGTTGTCAAAGGGCCGTGACTTCTTTTGCCTCCAGATGACCTCTCCCGTTTCCAGTTCAGTTGGCGCGGTGAATCTGTCACGCTTCGTGTTCGCCGGCTCCGTGGAGCCGCTGCAGACACGGCGAAGCCGGCCTTGCTCCTGCCCTCAGGGAGGTTGCAGTCTGCGGTAGGGGTACAGGTGGGGATGAGACCTGCGCTGCTTGACGTAGGGTCAGCACGGGGCACTGCGGATGCAGAGGGGAGGCCCCGTGGGGCGAGGGCAGGCGGGCTCAGGGCACCGAGGCACGGAGGTGTGGAGTCGCACAGTTCGGGGGAGAACTAAGCATGGTGGGGCTCAGGAAGGAGCCGTGAGGAGTGAGGCTGGGGGGGCGGGCAGGCACTGAGCCCCACCTCCCGAGGCGGAAGAGCTGGTGCGGCCGAAGGCTGCCCCTTTCTTCCGCGGCCCGGTGGACGTGTCCTCCTGGCTCTCCTCGGACGCTTCGCTGTCCCCCTTGGCCTCTATCTGGACAGCAGAGGCCTCGCATGTCACCTTTCTTCAAGGTAAGGCCCAGGCCCTGCTGCCTCTGTGAAGCCTCCCTAGATGCCCTCTGTCCTCTGAGAGCTCCGGAGCCTCTCACATGCGGGGAGCCGCGCTGCCGCCCTTTCACCCAGGCAGCCAGCCTCGTTTGTCTCTGCCGTGAGAGGAAAGCTGGGGGCGCTGTGGGAGTCACACGGTGATGTTCAGTAAACACCGAACAGGACCGAATCTCATGGATTTGGGTTTGGCATCGCACAGCTCTGGGTTTGATCCCAGCTGCGCCACTAGTTTCTTCTTAGCAGTGTGGGCAAGTCTAAGACCTGTGTGATGCCCACCTTTTCATTTACAGTGTGGAAGATGGTTCCAGCTGAGGGCGCGGGCAGACACGGTTGGAGTGGGGGTCAGAGCCCTGGTGCTGCCCATGTGTAGCGGTGGCAGGGACACACCTGGGTGCAGGGCCTGGTTGGGCAGGATGGCAGGGCTCAGGTGTTCAGTTCTGGACTTGCTCAGCGCCCACAGGAGCCCCCTGCAGTACGGAGGGTGCAAAGTACTTTTCCTGGGCTTGCTGTTGGCCCAAGAGGCCAAGCAGTTGGCTTAGGTCACCCAGTGGACCAGGTGCACAGCGTTGCTGGGAACGGGGCAGGAGGAGAGCGAGGCCTGGAGGGGCTCTGGAAGAGGGCACGGTGTGCAGCCTTGGGGTGATGATGGGCAGAGGGGCACTGAACCCAAATATGCTGGTAGCTGTTTAATGCCAGGAAAGCCTCACCTACTCATCAGGAAGAAGCCGGCCCTGGTTTCCGGGTTTGCTGGCTCCTGCCCCCGACTGACTCAGGCCAAGTATGACACTGCCCAGTGTGGAGTTGGGAGGAGGGGTGTGGAGTCTTTGAAGGGCCAGCTGCCGTGTACCACAGGGGTGCCGGGCTGTCACACGTGGTGCTGTGGGATATGGCACTTTACTTGGATGTAGTCTTCCCCCAAACCCTCATTGCTTCCACGTTACAGAGCAGTGAGATGAGGCTCAAGAGGGCGGCTTGCCTGTGGCCACCCGGCTGTCCGTGGGCAGGAGGGCTCCAGCCGGGGAAGCCTGACTTCAGAGCCCAACTCCAACCTGGGTGTTGTCTGCCTCCCCTCGGGATGGAGCAGCTGTAGCCAGGGTGGGACTTGCCTCGGTGGCACTGCTGTGCAGTTCCATTCCCAGTGGACCGGTCCCCAGTGCTTTCTGGCACACACAGGCTGTCTCACCTGGTGGAACTGTCCCCCCACGTCCTACTTGGACCCTGCTGGCACAGTCAGGAGAACCCGAGTCGGCAGCCTGGCCCAGACCAGTCAACTGAGGCAGGAGGCAGCCCACGGGGCACAGAAATGCCCAGGCCAGGAGCCTGCACCCCAAATTGATTTTTCATAGCTGGAAACTGTATCCATCACCAAAGCCCAGTACTAACAACACATTTCTGCCACTAACCACATATCAATGGCAACTTATTTGGCAAACCTAAACGTGCGATCCGGAGCTTTGAAGCAAATAGGTGGCTTGGTGTGGGGATGGGAGAGGGGGAGGGAAATGAAGAAGACAGGTAGCAGGGCACAGGTGGGGCCTGTGGGAGCAGTGAGGTGGGGCACTGGGGGCCTGCGTGGCCATGCATGGGAAAACGAGAGACTGCAGGCTTGTCGCTCCTGGGCCTGGCTGGCACTGTGGTGTGTGCCGCGCACGCGCCCGGATATCCTCTCCTCACTCTTATCTACTGAAGGAGCTGGCAGAGGCCCAAGGGTGAGGGGGACTCGGCAAGCAGCCAGGAAGACACCTCCTTCTTAACACCCGGGGAGTGCCTGGAGATTCCCAGCCTGTCTTCCTCTCTGATCCCTAAGGCAGGTGCTGTTAAGAAGGGAAATACATTCATTTCTGGCCCCCTGCCTTTGGAACCCCCTCTGCACACAATGGGAGCTTAATAAATACTTGATGACAACAACTCTGAACCTGGGAAGCCAGCAGCTGTTCCTAGCCTTGGCTCTCAGAGCCTCATGGGGCCAATCAGGCAGGGAGCCACCATGCAGGTCTCCAGCCTCCCTGCGAGACCCCAGGCCGGTGATTCTGCTCGCAGCTGGCAGGGAAGGGCTGAGCTGCACCACACACATCCTGCTTGGGGAAGTCGGCTCTTCCTCCACAGATCCTCCCGGAGCTCTCTCATCCATCATTTGAACAATATTTATTGAACACACACTTTGTGCTGAGTGTCATGGGGAAAAGCATTCTGGGATACAGAACATGGGGTCACACTGACCTAAGATCAACCCTAGCACCTTTAATTACAAGCTAGGTAACATCTGGCAAAAGTTACTCATTTGTGCTTGTGTGCTTTTTAATTTTTGGCCCTTTTTCTTCCTTTCTTTTCCGCCCTCCCTCCCTCCCTCCCTTTTCATTTCTTTCTTTTTGAAAACGGTTTTCATCTGTGAAAGGAAAGAGATGACATTTTCAGAGTGGATGCCAGGATTGGGACCCACAGGTGCCCGCATACCTGGTGGTGGGTGAGTTGTCCATCCCCAGAGGAGTGGCCACCCGTTTCTGTGGCCTTGGTGTGGTTGCTCAGCATCTCTGACATGCTCCCTCCTTTGTAAAGTGGGAGCAACATAAAGCCCCGCTCTTTGGGCACTGGAAGGATCTACCTGACACCAGTGTGAAATGACCTGTCCTAGACCCTGGCCACTAACACGTGTTTCCCCCCGCCGTCCCCGCATCGCGGTGAC